AGATGAGTCCACGTGTTCCTCCATCTAATGGTCCTAAATCCACATCTTTCCCTATAAATACACACACGACATCATTTGAAAGGTAATGCGATTCTACACTTCAAATATACCATTTGCCTTATAATCAAGTATGTTATCCCATTTTCCTTCGACGTTAACTAACTTGACTGTCACGTTACTCGCGGTCGCTTCCACAATCACCGAAAAAGGACACGAGTGACTAACGTTTTGTTGTCATGAGCAGAAAGCTATCTAGTGGAGTATTTATATGTTGGCCACATACCCTTACGAAATTTGCGGTCAACAAATATACATTTTTTTTTTTTTTGTCGAAAAACACATTTGCATATTTTTCATCTCTTTATTGAAGAAGTTTTCGATCACCTTAAAGATCTAAATCATAATCTAGATCTATTTTACACCACCATTGAATATGCTCCCATAGATGTCGTCACAAAATTTTTTTTATTAGAATTCCTTTCAGGATCATCAAGTTACTTGCTAACTCCATATATACAATGTAAAAAGGATTATTCTCCTTTACCATGGACTACGTGGCCCCGGTATTGTAGCATAGCCCAAAAAGTATAGGATATTTTCTTAGCTGGCGTGTATAGTTGTGCACTAGTTAAAGTTCATTCTTGTTTGTCTCTGACACAGGAAATTAGTAATGACAAGCAAATTCAAATTATAAAGTTAAAATCTTATTCTTATTATTTTATTCATTACTATCTAATACAATACACAATTAGTTGGAACTTTAGTCTCCATTTTAATTTAATTAAATTATGAAGCTTGAGTTTCGTAGCAAAGACGAGATCTTGGTGGGATATGGATGCATTGAAATGATTGATTCCTCAAATTGTCACTCTCTTAAAATCAAAATTTTAATTTAACTGAAAGTCAACAATTAATTTCAACATATTTTATGTACTTAATAACTTTTCAACCACTCATCTAATCAACTTTTTTCAAAATTTAGAGCTTGTTTGGGAAAGATTTTTGGGGAAAGAATTGATTTTGAATAGTGATATGATGAGAAATGTGTGGTTGAAAAAGAAGAAAAAATTATTGATGTGATGGATAATATTATTTTATCGAAAAATGTGTAGTTGAAAATAAGAATTGATTTACTGTAGAAAAATTTAATCTCTCCCAAACAGGACCTTAGTAAAATCTGATTTTAATCTACGACGAACAAGGGCTTAATACTCATTGAATATTATTTTGGAAAAATTACACTCGGTATCCTTAACCTTTAACCCTTATAACA